GAGCATCCAGGTTCGGAAGTGGAAGAGTGTTCGGAGGAGGGGGAAATCACCATTTCGGACTCTGATGAAGGTACTAGTAACTCCTTGTCATTCGATAATCCTTACGATAAGAAAGGGAAAGAATCTGAACTTCCCGAGCAAGTCGCTACATTTTTGAGCGAGGTCTTTACTCACAAATTAACGTATGCGGAGTTCAAGGAGAGGAAGGAAGCTTTTCCAACTCCACCTAGCGTGGAGTTAGCGCTTCGGGCACCCATTCTAGACCCAGTAGTGGCGAATATGATTAAGCACGACACCGTCAACACGGATAAGAATTTTAGTGATTGTCAGGATAAGATGCTCATGGCTGCTAACCCTCTGGTGGAGCTTTTAGCGGCAGTTAAGGGTTCGGACCATCCCCTGAACCCAAATGCTGTGTGCAAAGCGATAGAATCGTCATTGGTCTTTTTGGGTTCAGCTTCCTCTACTATGACTCAGTACAGACGTGAATTGTGCGGCAGGGACATAAACAGGATATGAAGCATGTTTTTAAGACCGACTTGCCCACTGGTTCTTCCAAATACTTGTTTGGAGACACCTTTTTGGAGAAGGTTAATACAGCCGATCAGGCTAGACGCACCTTGAGTAAGGCTTATAAGCCAGCCCCTTCGAGTACTTCTAGGGCTAGGGACAGGTTTCAGTCCAACCGCTCGAAGTTTAACTATAACTACAACAAGTACTCCTCAAACTCAAAGGGTTACAATTTTCGTCCCTACTATAACAACAACAACAACTACAACAATGCTAGACCATGGTCAAATGCCGGGGGTAAGAAAACCTCGGGGTTTCGTTCAGCGCAGGGCACAAAAGGCCCAAACAAACAGTAGCTCTTCCTCGTCATCAGACTCTGCTCTGTTCTCCGGTTCAGCACGCAGGGCGAACAGCTTTTTTCATGAAAAACTGGGAAAGGATTTCAACAGACAGATGGCTTTTGCAAACAGTTCGGGGTTACCGTATAGAATGGGAGTCCACTCCAGTTCAGTTCGTTCAGCCGGTCACAAATATATCTGGGGAGGACAGAGCAAAGGTTGTAGACGAGGAAGTGCACAGTATGTTGGAGAAAGGTGCAGTGGTCCAGGTGGAGCCCTGCGAGGGCCAATATGTTTCTACGATTTTCCTAGTCCCGAAAGCTCGGGGAGGCTGGAGACCGGTTATAAACCTAAAGTCTTTAAACAAGTTTGTTCTGAAACGTACTTGCAAGTTCGAAGGGATAAACCTAGTCAAAGAGTTGTGGAAAAAAGGAGATTTTCTAGCAACTATAGATCTAAAGGATGCGTACTTTACCATCCCAATAGCTCAGAGCGATCGAAAATTCCTTCGTTTTTCGTGGAGAGGAGTTCTTTGGGAATTTCAGTGTCTTCCCTTCGGTCTGACGTCGGCGCCGAGGGTATTTACCAAGGTTTTGCGGCCGATTGTGGCCATTCTAAGGAGACAAGGATTGTTAATAGTAATTTTCCTAGACGACTTACTGATCATTGCAAGGTCGAGGGAACAGTGCTTAGAGCACATTGCTATAGCCAGAGAGCTTCTAGAGCAACTCGGTTTTGTTCTCAACCTGGAAAAGTCGCAGTTGATACCGTCTCAGGTAGCGACCTTCCTAGGCCTTGTTCTCGATTCTCGTACTTTGACAATTTACCTACCAGAAGACAAGTTAGACAAGGTAGTGAGTTCTTGCCAATCACTTCTAGAACAGGAGGTGATAGGAACCAGGCAGCTAGCCAGCGTGGTGGGGCTGTTAGAGTCCACCAAGCAAGCCATTCTTCCCGGGCCCTTACATTTCCGGGCTCTGCAACAGCTTCTCAATTTCGGCATAAAGAAGCCGGGAAAATTCGACTCTTCAGTCAGTCTAACCCCAGATGCAGTAAAAGATCTACAGTGGTGGATCAGTCATGTGCGCGAAGTAAACGGTCGCCGAGTCTTTGTTCCGTCAGACCTGACAATTTGCACAGATGCCTCACTGGAGGGATGGGGCGCGCATTGCAATGGTCAGGAGACAGGCGGGCGCTGGTCACAGACAGAAGCGCGCATGCACATCAATTGGCTAGAGTTGAAAGCGGCCTTCCTGGCGCTAAGAAGCTTTGTGAGCGCGGATACTCAGCATGTTCTGCTAAGGCTGGACAACACAACAGCCGTTGCATATGTGAATCACATGGGGGGAACAAGGTCGCCAGATCTGGCAGCCTTGGCCCTGGAGATGTGGTCGTGGGCCTTGGAAAGAGGCCTGATGTTGTCTGCAACTCACGTTCCCGGATTGACAAACACCCTAGCGGACAGGTGTTCGCGGGTTTTTCTGGACAAGGTCGAGTGGCAACTGAACCGCTCAGTTTTCCTGTCATTGAACAATTGGACAGGCAATGCATTGACAGTAGATCTGTTTGCGTCTCGTCTGAATGCTCAGCTGAAGGAGTATGTCTCTTGGCACCCAGAACCAGAGGCCATGGCAGTGGATGCTCTAAACATTCACTGGGGCAACCTGGGGCTAGCGTATGCCTTTCCCCCCTTCAGCCTAGTGTTCAAGGTACTGAGAAAAGTCCAGTCAGACGTAGCAACAGTGATTTTGATAGCTCCAGTTTGGAAGTCTCAGGCTTGGTACCCCAAGGTGTTGAACATGTTGTTCGAGAGTCCGGTTCTCCTGCCACAGAGCTGGGATCTGCTGTTCCTGCCACACAACAGGAGACCCCATCCGCTGTTGCCAGATCTGATGCTTGCCGCGTGGCCAATATCAGGCGACAGTTGCAGGGTCGGGGCCTTTCGGCAGGGGCTTCAGACCTCATCCTCTCGGCTTGGAGAGAAAGTACTTCTAGACAGTATCAGTCAGCATGGGCTCAGTGGGCCAGCTGGTGTGATAGAAGGGAGATTGATCCAGTTTGCGGCTCTATAGAGAGCGTAGTAGAATATCTGGAATGGATGTTTCGACAGAACTACAGCTATATGTCAATTGGGGTGGCTCGTTCTGCGATCTCGTCTGTTCACTTACCAGTAGACCATTGTAATGTGGGTAGTCACCCTCTAGTGTCCAAACTGATGAGAGGTGTGTTTCACAAACGTCCTCCTTGTCCAAGATATGTTTCAACATGGGACGTCAGTCGGGTCCTAGAGTACCTTCTGCATTGTTGCCCAGCTAATAGTCTTAGTTTGAAACAATTGTCTCATAAGTTGGTAACACTAGCGGCATTGGTATCAGCCGACAGAGGTCAAACTTTAGCGGCTCTCGACTTGAGATTCATGAAGAAATGTAGAAACGGTGTTTCTTGGACAATTCCTACCCTGCTAAAAACTTCTAGACCAGGAAAACCTGCCAGAAAGTGTTTTTGGGCGGCCTTCCCGCAGGACAGGCGCTTGTGTGCCTTCACATACCTGAAGGAATATCTAAGGCGGACTTCTTCCCTTCGGAAAGAAAGGGGGGGGAGCAGAAGTTGTTCATATCATACAGGAGACCACACAGGCCGGTTGGTTCTGCGACCCTGGCCAGGTGGGTTAAGTCAGTGTTAGGCACGGCAGGTGTCGACACAGCAACTTTCTCAGCTCACTCCACTCGAGGAGCGTGCACTTCAGCTGCTGCAGCTGCCGGGGTGTCTCTACATAGCATCATGAAGGCAGCGGACTGGTCACGAGAGTCTACCTTCCTGAAGTACTACAGGAGGGACAACAACCAACACACGTTTGGCCAGGCTGTGCTGTCCACGGCTCTGAAGTCTGCATAAGGTAAATGATATACCCAAATAGGGAGTGTGCAGGTATAATTGAGGATTAGGCAAATTGTACTTACCATGAAGGATAATCCCAATTATACCTCACACGAACTATTTGGGTATATCTTCCCACCCTTGCTGTTCTTCAGCTTCCAGGTAGCTGAAAATGCCCACCCATGGTGAACAGCACAGACTTTTTCTCGCACGTCGTCAAATGGCGGCGAACATTGTCATTACGTCATGATATCCCGTGATGCTTTGCGATTAAAGCTTTGTACACGTGCGCCACCTAGCGATAAGCATAGGAAATACTGCATAAGGTAAATGATATACCCAAATAGTTCGTGTGAGGTATAATTGGGATTATCCTTCATGGTAAGTACAATTTGCCTAATCCTCAATTTTTATGGATGACATTAGCGCGTGCATTAATTTTCGCCCGATTTTGGAAAAAAAAGAAAGAAATTTTGTTGCCTTCTGACAGTAATCACCATGCCGAAAATGGGCAAAGATGTCTGTTGCCATGTTGCCGGAAGGTGGGTGGCAGAGAGGAACTTCCTAACTATGAAGAGAGGAGACAAGAAAAGGCTCTGTTTCTTACTTTGATGCAGTGATATGTGATGTTGGCTGTGTATATGTGATGTTCCCACTGAATCAAAACCATTTGTACAATGATTGAGTCAAAATTTTAAAATGTAGGAACCTTGTTTTTTTTCGCCCGCTCGCATTAGATTTGGAGTCTGTGGAGGATGTAATCCATAAAATTTACTTGCTGCGGCCTAAGAATGTAATCCTAGAATTTGCAGATTTTTAACTGAATGTTTCTGCAAAATATCTGGGATTTGATGAGAATCTCATTGAAAATGCTTTCTTCCTTTTCAGATTGTTATTGCCACACCTGGTCGATTGATTGACGTGCTGGAGAACCGTTACCTGGTGTTGAGTCAGTGCACCTATGTGGTCATGGATGAAGTAAGTAGTGTACTTATTGGGTCATGGATGAAGTAAGTAGTGTACCTATGGGGTCATGGATGAAGTAAGTAGTGTACCTATGGGGTCATGGATGAAGTAAGTAGTGTACCTATTGGGTCATGGATGAAGTAAGTAGTGTACCTATGGGGTCATGGATGAAAAGTAACTAGTGTCATATTGTCGTGGAGTCGTGCTAGTGTACATGTGTGGTCATAGCTGAGAATGTGACATATAATATCTATATGATATCTTGGATGAGGAAAAAAGGATTCCATTTGCTTTGTGAATGAGAGTATTGCAACATGTGTTCATGATGGAGTATTAGAAGTGTACCTATGGGGTCATGGATGAGAAAAAGTTTTCACATTACAGCATGCTGGCAGAATGCACCACGCCTGATTTTTCATGGTTTTCATTGGATTTTTGGTTCAACATTGCATCAGAATTTTACCTGTTGCAGACAATATCTTTTCTGACACAACATACAGAAACAACAGTCAGGATGCTAACCTCATATACACGAATACGACCTTATGATATATAGTAATATGAGATGTTCTACTAAAGTGCTATATGCACAATACATTTACGGGTTTTGCATAGGTACAGTACGTTCTGTCTATTATATGTGCTACACATAACTATAAGGCATTTACATGATAGATATGAGAGACTCAGTGTACTTGAATATTAAATTTGTCACATATTTCTATTTATTATTATTCATTAAATAATCTCCATATTTCCCCCTTTCCAGGCTGATCGTATGATTGACATGGGTTTCGAGCCAGATGTGCAGAAGATTCTGGAATATCTCCCTGTGACCAACCAGAAACCAGACACTGAGGAGGCGGAGGATGTGGAAAAACTCAAGGCCAACTTTGCCACCAAGAGGAAGTACAGACAGGTAAGGAACTTCAAAAACAGTCATACAAAAACATTAAACCTTTCAGCTTAAGGCACATGTACAATGTACTTTTGTATTGTACATGTTAACGGGAGGGGTCCTAATTCCGACCTATGTTCCATACCAACGCACATACCTTTTGTAATAGTTTATCTGACCAAAAACTTGTGCAACATGAGCTATATCTACCATGAGCTAGGTCGGAATTAGGGCACCGCCCATTACAAAATGTACATGTACCAACTACATATTACTAGTAGCTACAGCAGGAACCAGCAGGTTAAACTTGCCAGTATGCCAAGTAAGTTAAACTTGCCAGTATGCCAAGTAATATACTATGTATTATCGGTAAGGCCACAGCAAGTAAATTTTATGGATGACATCCTCCGCAGACTCCAAATGTAATGCGATAGGGCAAAAAAAACAAGGCATTTTCATATGGTACATATGGTTTTGATACAAAGTAAGAAAATACTTCACTGCATTAAAGTAAAAGACAATTTTTTTTAAAACAATAAATCAGAGCCTTGTCTCCTTTCAACATATCTATCTGCCATCTACATTCCGGCATGAACATGAATACAAAATCTGAAAGGATTCTATCAGAAACTTAAAAAAGTATTTTCTACACTCCAGACAGTTATGTTTACGGCCACCATGCCTCCACAAGTGGAGCGGCTGGCTCGCAGCTACCTGCGCCGTCCCGCCGTCGTGTACATCGGATCCGCCGGCAAACCCACGGAGCGCACGCAACAGGTCGTCTACCTGGTCAAGGAGGGAGAGAAGAAGTAAGCCTACCAGTAGTATATTGTTTGTTTGTTTATTGTTTATTTGCACATACAAAATACGTAAGGCCACACGACCGTACGTATGTACAGTGCCAATTCATGAATTAAAAAAACGCATGTGCCGGCTTGTCGTATAGGTTGCTATGTACTGCAACAAATTCACAATACAATGTACAACACATTCCCAACTAAAACGAGAAATTCTCCATACACTATGTGCAAAATGCACACACCTATGTGCAAAATGCACACACCTATGTGCAAAGTGCACACACCTGTGTGCAAACTGCACACACCTATGTGCAAACTGCACACACCTATGTGCAAAGTGCACACAGCTATGTGCAAAGTGCACACAGCTATGTGCAAAGTGCACACAGCTATGTGCAAAGTGCACACACTATGTGCAAAGTACACACACCTATGTGCAAAGTGCACATAGGTGCATATACATGTACTATGTACAAACTGCATAATTATACTTCAAACAGACAACACTTTAATTCTGGACTGACTCTAATTCCGGACGACCTTTCACCATTAAGACATAATTATATTACTCGCTGAAAGTTGCGTAGGTATCATCGATAGGTCCCCTGGGACTAGGTCTGTCAGTTCTGCAGAATTCTGCATTCAGGTGCAGAATTCTACAACCCAAATACAAGATATGAAGGAATTAGCAATGCCTTATTTATTTTATGATGTTAGAGAGTGGACTCACACTCGTCCTACACTGTATGTGTTTGCTATCCCTGTGCTGCAAAAAAACATACAAGACAGGACATTCTGCCAAGTACCTTCCAAAAGCACAAAAGAGTTTGCAGATGGCACACACATTTCAGGCACAAGTACTTTTTCACTTTCAGGTCATTCAGGTCACAGTATTTCATGCTGATGGTCATTGTCAGACTGAAGCTTGAGTTCTTGTACACGTGGCGTGATGTTGTGCTCGGTGCTCAGTGATGACGGCCAGAGATGGCTGGGTACATGGCAGATGTAGTTGGCCGGCAAGCTGGCTTTGTAGTTGCAGCATGTCGATGATCAGGGTCGGTTTGCAGCAAGTGGGTGATGAGGCAGGAGGGCAAGGCAGGCAGATACTGTGAGGCTTTTAATTTGTACATTTGTAGTTTTATCCAACATGATAGTCATTTCGGAATTACAATGATTCTGGTAGTTTGGTACAGAGTTCCCAGTAGTTGTCAGAGAGTAGAAACTATTTTATTCAACTGGAAGAAGTGCAAATTTCATGTATATGCCTCAAGAGAGGCTTCACATGTCTTAATTACACGCTGGATTAGCTAGCTAATCCTTGGGAGACCCTAACAGTGCAGTTGGGTGGACTCTGGTAGGCCTTCTGGTCAGGGGACAAATCATTTAGCAACACCAGAAGCCAGACACATGCTGTTTGGGGACCACCTCTATTTATTCTTAGGAGGTCTCCTGAAACCCCCTTCATTTATCTACTGGGCAGATGAGGCCATGACAAGCAAGCCCACAATTTTCTACCACAGTTGCTTCTTGGAGATTATGTTACATTAGCCCTGAACCAGTAGGCATTTTGCCGGTCTCTGACCATTAAGGTCCACTAAAAAAACTTACAGAAAAATTGCAGAACTTTTGAAACTTAAAAATTCACTAGTGGATGGGTTATAGTATTAAAAACCTGTAAGTACATGTAATATTATCATAATTTACCAAGGATATACATTTTGTAATGTCCTTGTTAAAGCATAATCTTGATGCCAGACTGTTTCCAGCATTTTAAACACTAGTATAAAGTCAAACTTGTAAAAGTGCCCCCCTATCCGTGAATAGTTTCCTCAGGTTGGTACGTCACTGAGAGGGACTCTTTTTACACAACCAAGTCTATTATTCGACATTTTGCTGACTGTCTGTCACCTTCCCCAGGGCAACCGTATTGTGGACCTAACAGTTCTCTCTGTAAATGCTTTGGTCTCATAACTGACCACAATTTTGTATATATCCAACTCCTGTTTGTTTGGGACTGCATTATAGTGATACAGTTCCCTGTACAACCATGCATAGTGTAGTATGTGTAGATATATAAATATTGTACATTTGGGAATGCATCTGTAGCAGCTACGCATTGTGCTGCAATGCAGTGTGAAGTCAGAATTGCCCTAAGGAAGGTGATGACAGACGGTCACCAAAATGTCAGCTGAATAAAAGACTTGGTTGTGTACTAGACAAAAGTCCCTTTACTCAGTAACCATCTCTATAAGCCAGCCATCTGGTCATAATGACTGCTTTTTCTCAGTCCCGAATTTTACAACATAACGTATGTTGTAAGAGTACCACTTGTCCAACACCACCACGACTGGCACTATATATTTGGGGGTGCACAATGGGCTCAACCTCTGCATATGACGAACATGTCATTTTCAAATGTGGCAGAAAACCTTTTTTGATGATAGCTAGCAAGAAGTCTTCATGGAAGCAGCCAGTTTGCCATTGAATTTATATATACAGCATGGCCATCTTTGTGCAATTACAAAATGGTACCAGCTGGGCCACTTTGGGTCAGCTGGGCAGACTCTAGAGTAGAGTATTGTATGTAAACTAAGAATTTTGCTGAGGTTTTTCTTGTTCTCTGTCCCACACATATCTCCTTGTTCTCGCCATGCTTTTTGTATATGAGATGACCACTTTTCCTTGGTCCCCTGAGTGTTCAACAAGTTACTGTTACAGTATGTACATGTACAAATGTAGGTCAGCTCTTCTGCCCCATGTCCAACAAGGGGCATGTGCATTTTGTAATGCACACACATACTGGCCAGGCACATGTCAGGCAGATTTGGTTCCTCTGAAATAAGGCAGCAGTATGCTGGACTCCTCCCTGGCTTGTTTACTGAAGCACCCTGCTGAAGCACCCTGGCAACTAAGGCAACACAAGTGTAATTCTCTTCCTCTGACTTCTATCAGTAGAGGTCGTCACACCAGATTAACACTCTGTGGATGGGTTATACTCTGAGTCAATGATCAGCCAGGAGATCCATGTGTGGAGAGAAACCAGGTCACCACAGTGGGGTCAACCCTATCTCCTTACAGTTACACATCCCTTAGCTGGCCTGTGTGTCAGAGCTGCCCAGGCAGTGTCTGTAACAAAATCTTTAGTACATGTACCTTGTGAGTCATTGAAATCCACTAACATAAATAATTTCAACTTTGTGGGTAACTTCACATGGATTTTCACATTGATTGATTGATCTTTTGAACAAGGAGGTTAACATTAGAAGGTTCATCTTTAACCTCTAGGCCACTGCAAGTAATTTCTATAAACCTTCATTGACATATCATTGACATTGACATTAGACATTGGTGGTGGTGCCAGGGTGCCAGACAGCCGATGTTAGAATAAAGACTTCACTGATCCTCACCACCAGGTCTATTACATGTATATATGACTGCCCAACATACATATGTACATGAAGTCACTCTAGAGTTCCTCTTTAGACCCCGTGGTTCCCCTGATGGAATAAGATTGTGCTTGCCAGTGTGTTCAGTGAATTCTCCAAGCAGATGTTAGGCTACAAAATTGTGATGTTTTCAGGCTGGCTGAGACACCTGTATCCAGTGTCTAAAAATTTTTTCAAGCAGATGTTAGGCTAGAAAATTGGCCTCCCTCTAAGAACTCTGTCACAAAGTTCAGGCTTGAAGTTCAACCCTTGTCTGTTGTTGTTCAGATCACATTGTACATCATGGTCATTTCTAGAAGTTTCCGAAGTGTGGGAGGCCTGGATGAAGGAATTATGAAAGGCCACAGAAAAATTGCTTTCCTTTGATGAGGTGCACAGCCTCAGCCAGTGCACACACAGGATAACTTTCATCCTAATGTGCTGTGTGTCTGTCACATCCAGGCTAGCTTTTGGTGCTGTCACTATTCTTTACAGTAAGTTTATTTCAGCAGATTCACAGAAAATTATACTGAGACTAAGATTGATATACATTTTGACATCAATGTTGTCATAAAGTGATGAATAGAAATTCTATAATTCAAGAATTGCAATTCAATCAATGTTAGCTCAGAATTTCAGTTTCCTCTGCAATTTATATTACTGATGAAAAGTGACTTCATGAAAGCTGGTTCACTGGGATAAACCAAAAGGTCAGACTATCCTTGGAACAGCAAAGACCTCACTGGTGTTCAGTCCCAGTGGATGTCCCAGCACACTGGCCTGGCATGGCTGGGGTTAGGCTGAGGTCACAGGAAAGGAAGCTGCCATATCATATGTCATTGAGTCTACATGTTCTCAGGCAATCTGTTCTGCCAGGAACTGGGAAGAGTTCTAAGCCTTATAACTTATTATAGTACCTATACTATAAAGCAGGTTGGGTTTAATGTTGCAGAAATCAATAGATATGGGAGGTCAGTCCCAAATGTTTTTTTTGGCACTAGTCCATCTAGCAAGCTGGAAGATTTGAAGGCTATACCAAATTTTGTACAAAAGGGGGTTCTAGGAATACCAGTATGTTGTGATCACTTCAAAAACAACTTTAAAACAGGTTTTTTTATTCCTAGTATGTCTTTCCATGTCTATTAAGCTCTGAATTGTCACACATAAAAAGATACAGTTTATACATTTTTGTATGTCGTGTAGTTTGCCTTTATCCCCCCTCCCATGAGCAACTTGGTGTGCTGTTCCACCTGTGCACAGATGGTAACTAACTGCAGGCCTGCCTGGCCTGGCTGTCAGCTTGTTGCAATGGGTACAGGGCACTCCTCGTTCAAGCAGATGTAGGGTCCAGTTCAGCGTTTTACACGTCTTTGCAACATTTGCATAAGTGTCTTTGGTGGATTTTAGCCTTGTATGTACCTATATGTACGTACTGGTATTAAGTGTGTCATCATCCTACCCTATTACAAAATGTACTTAGGACAAATGTAAATACACGTACTATAATTTGTAGGTTGTGGAATTTTATTAATGAGGAGAAGCCTGATGAGTTTTCTTTTTTGTCTGTAAGTCCATGCCAATTTA